CAGGGGTTCATACACTGCTCTGGGCCCTACTTACTTTCCAAAGGGGTGTGGAGGAGCTGGCTTCATCATTTCAGATGACACATTTAGGAAGGAACATCATCTGTCAACCACTAAATGAAGGGTATACAATGGCATATTGTGCTTCATTCATTTGAAAGAAATTGTCCCAGACTTGCTGGGCACTAAGGGCACAAGGCAGAGTTTAGGGAATTATTTACTGTAAGACCCACATGTGTATTTTTTTATTTTTTAAAGTTTATTTTTGAGAGAGAGAGAGAGAGAGCGCACAAGCAGGGAAGTGGCAGAGAAAAAGGGAGATACAGAATCCAAAGCAGCCTTCAGGCTCTTAGCTGCCAGCACAGAGCCCAATGAGGGGTTCAAACTAACAAACTGTGAGATCATGACCTGAGCTGAAGTAGAGTCAGATGCTTAACTGACTGAGCCACCCAAGCACCCTGCCCCCGCAAGTGTATTTTAATGATGCCTGCCATCTATCAAGGGAGAAAACAATACTTTCTGGGACTTTAAACTTTTGGAAACAGGGTTGTTTGTTTGTTTGTTTGTTTTACAATTGATCTAATAGAGAAATCAGAGAGGTCAAGGTGAGATGGGTACATATGGAGGTTGTGATGGGATTCAGACAAACCAGGAAAAGGATTCAAGGGCTCTATCTAGCCCAGTTCCTGTGTTCTAGCTGACCTGGGCCCTACAGGACTGCTGATAAGGACATATGGACTTCCCCATCCCATAGTAGGGGCAAACTTATAGGCAATTAAAATACATAGTGTGCTCATGGGCAAAGGAAACCCCTTTGCACAAAAAAGTCAGTGAGCCTGGAACTCACCCAGGAGATTGTCTCTCTCAAGCCAGAATGGTAGTTGAGACCTCCAGGAACCTCTACATCCCCCATAAACAAGAACCAAGACTATTTTAGAGAATAGTCAAGAGAGGTCTTAAAGAAGGCTTTGAGTACAAGGGCAAGGGAGGGCTACTCTTAGGTATTCTTATTGCAGAATGTTCTTTCAGTCTGACCCAGAGCAGAACTCCATCTTTCTAGCTTCTAGGCAGCTTTGCCCATGTGTGCTCTGCCTCACCACCAAGTTATTCATTCTGTCTCAGTCCATCTCTACTACCCGCAGAAGAAGACATCATCCTTACTGATCTATTGTACCTCAAGTTTGCCACAGGGACCCTTGGTGGAGGACACTGAATATTTTGTGGGCCCAGGCCCCAGGCCCTAGGGGACTCTTGTCCCCAAGCAGATAGGATGGTGATCACATCATAATTCATCAGCTTCCCTCCCTCTGAAATCCCAGCATCACCTGATCATTTCGTGAGACATCTCTATCTCTTGATGAGGGTCAATTTCCCTGCAACATTTTCTGAGAAGTGGGGACACTCTGGGATTTTTCCTCACATTTTCAAATCAGTGGGTCTTCTTTAATGTGTAGTGAGGATAGGAGGTGAAAGAGGACTGTGATTTCCAATCTCTTCCCAAATTAGGAAGGATGCATCCAGGGAAAAATAAATGGCAGTTAATAGTAATAAGAGAAACCCACATCCGCAGGAGAAGCATCTCAGCATCCAGCAATCTTTCAGGTCCTGGGGTTGGAGACTCAGCACTAGCTAGGAATGTCCTCCCTTCCTGTCCAGCAGGAATAGAGAATCATACTATGGGTTTAAATCTTGAATCCTCAATCATTGCTGTGCAATTTGAGGTTTGTTTCTCATCTTTGAGACATCATTTCTTCATCTGTAACCAGGAATAGTAATATTTCTTGTCTAATAGAGCTTGGAGAAGATTAATCAAGAGAAGGCATGCAGAAGACCCAGCCCAGAAAGACTCACAGATCAGAATCTTCATACACTGTTGTAAGAGTTGGAGGGAGTAAGAAGAACCAGAGAAAACTCTTCCTCAGAGATCCTAATAAGACCAGAGAGGATTCGCCAAGAGGTTGCTGCAGGGCCTGTCCAGAGCTTCACCTGGATCTTAGCATGCAACCCTCAAAGGAGTCCTCTGAGGTGGGTAGCATGGCTTCCCTTCTGGAAAAGACAGTATACTGGGGCTTGGTTTTCAACGTGAAAGCATTCATATTACCCTGGACCCAGCTTGTCTGCAAACTGAGGTCTCTTGGCAGTTTCCTCATTGGGAAAGTGTGTCCAGGCCTTATGGAGGATGAAAGCACCAAGAATTCTGGAGGGCAGTGTTGCAAGTTGGACTCACCTGTGTAGAGGAAAGCCAGTGTGGAGAGTAAGAAGCTGCACCTCAGGACCTGCAGTCACATGAAATTTGTCCTACAGACCGGACTGCACTCCTTCTGAGGCAGAAACCTAAGTACTTGGGTGTGAGGACTGATCTCCAGCAGACTCAGGAGACCCCATAGATGAGTCTGGAAGGGAAGCCTTCATGGAATAGAAGGCCCCTAGGGCTCACAGGGAAACTCCTCAGCCAAACAGGCAGCTTTGATTTAAAAATGTTTTAAATTTGCATCTATACACATAGAGATAGTATATATCTTAAGAGAAATCACCACAGCAATCAGTCATAACTTGTAGATTGGGAAAGCCCACCAGCCAGCACTGTGTGTAGCCCCCAGGAGGAGAGGCCACTAGATAATCCCAACCATTCTTTTTCCCAGTCCTGCCTTATAAAATGCTTGCTATCTTACCACAGGCCTCAGCTTACAAGAGAAAGTACATGGCAAAACATAAATACTTATAATAGTAATAACAACAGTGACAAATATAAACAATCATGTAAAACATAAGTGCTGACTTAAAAAACCAGGAGGACATTATTTGGAAGGTTCTTTAACTTAGATGTTGAAGTGGATGAGGGACAAGGATTCCTCAGGTATGCAGTTAGTGGTGAAAGACATGGAAAATGGGAAAAGACAATGCACTTTTCAGTGTTGTTAAAAAATAATTAAATTGTTCTTGACTCTGAAGACATATGCATTCAGGATATGTGGCTCCTCAGGATTGAAGAGTATGGAGAGTTTGCACAAGCTTCCTTCTTCCCTGCCTATATCCCTAGTGGGCCATCATGTTGTCCCAGTCTGGGAGAAGGTGTACTTGTACCTACCTGCCTCCTGACTGAGCAAACCTCATGCTGCTCTGTGGCTCAAGAGCACTCATGTGTAGAACCTCTTTTGGTGATGACTACTGGCACCACAGCTGCAGAGCATTCCTCAATGGTCTCCTATGAGTCCCTAAAATGTGCACATCTCCTGAATAAGCACCTCTGCTGCTTTTCTTTTCAATAGCTTTATTGGGATATAAATTACACATTCTACATTTTCTCCCCTTTAAAGTTTTCTGTAGCTTTTAATATAGTCACAAAGTTGTACAGCCATCATAATCAAATTTAAAACATTTCATTATCCAAAAGATATCCTGTACCTCTTGACTGCCACCTCTCTTTTCCCTCATACTGTTTGCCCTACAGATCTAGGAAATCCCCAATATATTTTCTGTGTCTATGGATTAGCTTATTCCGGACATTTCATATGAATAGAATCATACAATACATGATCCAATGGACTGTCTCCTTTCCCTGGTTATAGAGTTTTGAGGTTCATCCATGTTGTAGCAGATATCAGCATTGTATTTCTTTTTCCTGACCAATACTGTTCTCTTGAGTGGATAGATCACTTTTGTTTATCCATTGGTCAGCTGGTGGATAATCGTGTTAATTCCACCTGAGGGGGTATTATAAATAATGCTGCCATGAACATTTGCATGAAGGATTTTTTTAAATTTTTTTAATTATTTTTAATGTTTATTTATTTTTGAGAGAGAGAGAGAGAGAGAGAGAGAGAGAAAGCACAGCCAGGAGAGGGACAGAGAGAGAGACACACACAGGACCTGAAGCAGGATGCAGGCTCTGATCTGTCAGCCCAGAACCTGATGCAGGGCTAGACCTCATGAACCAGGAGGTCATGACCTGAGCTGAAGTTGGACACTTAACCAACTGAGCCACCCAGGTGCCCTTGCAAGCAGGTTTTAAATAGATGTATGTTGTCACTGCTCTTGGGTATACACTTGGCAATGGAATTGTTAGATAATTTGGTAACTCTATTTAAATTTTATTATCAGTTTTATTGAAAAGTAAATGACATACAACACTGTTGAATTTAAGGCATACAACATGATGAGTTGATTTACATATATTGTGAAATGATTATCACAATAGGTTCACTTAACATTTATCATCTCACTTAAATACAATAAAAAATCAAAGAAATAAAGGGGTGCCTGGGTGGCTCAGTTGGTTGGGCATCCTACTCTTGACTTCAACTCAGGTCATGATCTCATGGTTCATGAGACTGAGACCTGCATGGAGGTCTGTGCTGACCACATGGAGACTGCTTGGGATTCTCTCTCTCCCTCTCTCTCTACACCCCTGCCCCCATTACTCCCTCTCTCTCCTTCTCTCAAGATAAATAATCATTTTTAAGAGAGAAAAATTCTCCTTATGATGGAAACTCTTAGGATTCATTCATTAACAACTTTCCTATAAATCATACAGAAGTGTTATCTAGTCATCAGGTTGTACACTACATCCCTTTTATCTTATAACTGAAATCTTGTAGCTTTTGATCACTTCTTCCAACTGCCCCTCTTCTCACCCTCTGCCTCTGTCTCTCCACAAGTCTGTTCTCTTTTCCATGAATTTATTTTTAGATTTCACACATGAGTTCGAACATACAGTATTTGTGTCACTGTCTGATTTATTTTACTCAGCATGATGCTTTCAAGGTCCATCCATGTTGCCACAAACAGTAGAATTTCTCCACTTTCTATGGTTGACAAATATGTTTAAATTTTTGACAAACTATAAAACATTTTGCAGAGACTTGTTATTTCTAATCTAAATGCCTTTGTAGTGAATTGGGTGTGGATCTGACATCCTCAGTTTGGGGTACCAAAACTGATGATTCTTCTGCTGTGCTCTGTACCTGGCCCTCCTAACTCCCATGTTCTTCCTATTTCTGCAGGTCACTCCACTTCTTAGTGACATGACACAGCCCACCCCATCCCTTCATACCCCATTACGTACATCCTTCACCTCTGCTGTGCAATACAATATGAGCTGGAGCTTCTTACCTAAGGAGACTGCCTTAAACATAGAAAAGGCTGTGAGAGAAGGGAAGTTGCTGGAGGTGGTCTCTGTGGTCAGGGGAACTCTGGAGAGAGCATCCAGATCCCCAGTGAACATTGCTGTAACTGGAGACTCCGGCAATGGTATGTCTTCCTTCATCAATGCACTACGGGGAATTGGGCATGAGGATGAAGCATCAGCCCCCACTGGGGTGGTGAGGACCACCCAGATTCCCATTTGCTACTCTTCTTCCCTCTTTCCCAATGTGGTGCTGTGGGATCTGCCTGGCACAGGGGCTGCCACCCAAAGCCTGGAGAACTATATGGAGGAGATGCAGTTTAGCCAGTATGACTTCTTCATCATTATTGCATCTGAACAGTTCAGCATGAATCTCGTGAAACTTGCTAAAACCATTCAGGGCATGGGAAAGAGGTTCTACATCATCTGGACCAAGCTGGACAGGGACCTCAGCACAACTACCCTCTCAGAGGAAGGACTCCTGCAGAATATCCGAGAGAATATCCAGGAAACTCTCCAGAAGGAGAGAGTGCATGAACCCATCACATTCCTGGTCTCCAGCTTTGACCCCTTATCGCATGATTTCCCAGAGCTTAGGAACATCTTGCACAAAGACGTCTCTGACATCAGGTACCATGGTCCTCTAGAGAATCTGTCCCACACTTATAAGAAGGTCATTAATGACAAAGTGACCATTTTGCAGGAGAAAATAGCCTCCAAGTCTTTCCAGGACTCCCTTGGCATCTGGAATGCAGATGATCTGGAGGAGTGTCTGAATGCCTACCACTTGTTCTTTGGTGTGGATGATGTATCTCTCCAGCAGATGGCTCAGTGCATGGGGAACCCCACGGAGGAATACAGGGCCATTATGAAATCTAGGAATCTGCAGACTGTCCTCAGAGGGGACTGGGAATTATCTTGCATGAACTGTAATACAGCCTCTTACTTATATTCAATTTTGAGATACATCCCACTGTTAGGTAATGCTATTATCAACTGCCTGAGAAAGTGGATACACAGACTTCTCCTTGAGATAGTTGCTGAGGATACCAGGGCCATACTGAAGAAAATCCTGACAGACTCCATCATCTGAAGAGGCGACTTCTCATCAGCTACTTCTAGAGGAAAGTCAGGACATCTGGGGTCCTCTCCTCATACTGTACCCTTTCTGAATTCTCAATTGAGCTCAACACTTCCACTTTCATTGGTACGAAGTTCCTTGAAGTAAATGAACTGACTTGCTCATTTTGAACCCATGTCAGGAAACCCCAATATGTGTTCTACTTCTTGTATTTATTAAATTAGTTTGTATCTGAAGGTGGAAGAAAATATATGCTCAGTGTGACATACAATCTTGCTCTGTCATACTCTTGTCAATTAATGTTAACGTCATTTCTCTGATGCCTCTTTGTGTCCCCTGTTCTTTCATTCCTCACTTCACACTCTGTGGAATCACACAACTTTCACCTGCCCCAGTCACTGGTAGGCCCTTTAAGATGGTCTCCAACATTATCTCCTCTTTTTATGGCTATGTGTGATCCCTTTCTTTGGAGTGAACATGCAGCAAGAATAAAATGTCCAAAAGTTCCAAAATTTTGTTATGAAAAGCCTGCAGCTTCTGTCTTATGAAGACTCTCTGGGATTGTGATGCTTCCTGCTTTGGTTTTCTTCCTCAATATTACTATTCAGGGTCTTTTGTGGTTCCATACAAATTTTATGATTGTTTGTTCTAGCTTTGAGAAGAATGCTGGTGCAATTTTGATTGGGATTGTATTTAATGTACAGATTTCTTTGGGTAGTATTGACATTTTGACAATATTTATCCTTCCAGATGCTGAGCATGGAATGTTTTTCCATTTCTTTGTGTCTTCTTCAATTTCCTTCATAAGCTTTCTATAGTTTTCGGCATACATCTTTTACATCTTTGGTTAGGCTAATTCCTAGGTATTTTATGGTTCTTGGTGCAATTGTGAATGGGATCAGTTTCTTGATTTCTCTTTCTGTTGCTTCATTATTGGTGTATAAAAATGCAACCGATTTCTGTACACTGATTTTGACTTTTCATGTGTCAGTTTCTAGCAGATTTTTGGTGGAGTCTGTTGAGTTTTCCATGTAGAGTATCATGTCATCTGTGAAAAGTAAAAGTTTGACTTCATATTTGCCAATTTTTATGTCTTTGATTTCATTTTGTTGTCTGATTGCTGATGCTAAGACTTCCAACACTATGTTAAACACCAGTGGTGAAAGTGGACATTCCTGTTGTGTTCCTGATCTCAGGGGGAAAGCACTCAGTTTTTCCCCATTGAGTATGATATTAGCTGGGGGCTTTTCATAAATGGCTTCTATGATGTTTAAGTATGTGTGGGAGACGCAGGAGAGAAGCATAAAAGGAAAAGACTTCAAAAAGGAAGGGCTGGAGAAGGTGCAAGGCCTTAGGACATGTTTACACAGCTGAACCTTGGCTGTGGCTCCTAAAGAAGATCCTCCTTCACACCTGACCCTTCCTAGTGTTATAGAAACCAATTAACTCGAAATTCAACTTTGAAAACCATTGGATTAACACACTGCTTAGCTGACTTTATGCACGCAATCTTTAGCAATTATCCTAATAAAAAGAAGCTTCCTTCTGGAGTAAGGGCCTCATTCCGCCTCCAGTATGAGGACCTTCACTTAACTGCACTTTTTTGTGGACTCATATTTTGTGACTCCAGCCATACTCCCTGCAACATTTGGCATAGTTGGCAGGATACAGCGCGGCAAACAGCCTTGGAGACTACTGTGGTTTACAGTCGCAGAGGACCAAAACAGAGTGGTAGGACAGGTAAGTCCCGGCTTTGGGATAGTGAAGTATGGGAAATTCCCAGTCTCATGATCCTAAATCTTACTTTAAATTACTTCGTACTTTAAAAAATAAATAAATAAATAAAACACTTATGACTATTTAAAAAAAATTACTTAGTACTTTATTGCAAAGTTCATGAGTAAAAATGAAAAGGGGAACCTTTGATGTGCTTGGGTACTTGGCTAAAAAACATTGCTATTGGTTTAATCTGTCTGGAAAAAATCTTTTAAACCTTAAACAATGGAGATTAATTATGAAAACGCTTAGAGATGCTCATCAAAATGGAGATATCACTTCTTTAAAATTTTGATCTTAGGGCACCTGGGTGGCTCAGTCGGTTGGGCGTCGGACTTCAGCTCAGGTCATGATCTCGCAGTGAGTTCGAGCCCCGCATCGGGCTCTGTGCTGACTGCTCAGAGCCTGGAGCCTGCTTCAGATTCTGTGTGTGTCTCTCTCTCTGCCCCTCCTCTGCTCATGCTCTGTCTCTGTCTCAAAAAAAATAAAATAAAAACATTAAAAAAATTAAAATGTGGTCTTTATGCTCTTTAATTGAGATGGCTTTACAGCATATACAGTCTGACTCAGAATAAAATATAAGTTCATCTAAATTGAAAACTCATCAAGAGGCAGAATGGCCTCTGCCGCCACCCACAAATGATGATTAGAGCCAATTGTCTCTGGCTAGTCTACCTCAAGGTAGAGATTTTAAGGAATATTCCCAAGCAGCTGCTGAAACTCCTTTTGTTTCGGGAAACTTCCCTGTCTTCTCAGGCCCAACAAAGACTGCCTAATGCCACTAATGGAAAACAAAAACAAAATGAAACAAATAATGCAAAACAAAACAAAAATCGGTATCTGCTCATCTATCTGAGCTGACAGACTTTAGAACCATGTGAACTCTTTTCTTTCCCTCTGCGCCTCTGTCTGCCTTTAGGAAGATGTACGCTGTCAAAAGGCAAAGAAAATACTTCCTTAAACTTTAAATTTCCTCACCGGTTACATGGGAAAAATTAACAATGATAAACTTTTAAGAAAACACAGATCAAATATTATTAAGATAGACATGCCTTTTAAATTATAGAACTTTAGGGGTGCCTGGGTGGCGCAGTCGGTTAAGCGTCCAACCTCAGCCAGGTCGCGATCTCGCGGTCCGGGAGTTCGAGCCCCGCGTCAGGCTCTGGGCTGATGGCTCAGAGCCTGGAGCCTGTTTCCGATTCTGTATCTCCCTCTCTCTCTGCCCCTCCCCTGTTCATGCTCTGTCTCTCTCTGTCCCAAAAATAAATAAATATTGAAAAAAAAACTTTTTTAATAAAAAATAAAATAAATTATAGAACTTTAGGGGCGCCTGGGTGGTGCAGTCGGTTAAGTGTCCGACTTCAGCCAGGTCACGATCTCGCGGTCCGGGAGTTCGAGCCCCGCGTCGGGCTCTGGGCTGATGGCTCAGAGCCTGGAGACTGTTTCTGATTCTGTGTCTCCCTCTCTCTCTGCCCCTCCCCCGTTCATGCTCTGTCTCTCTCTGTCCCAAAAATAAATAAACGTTGAAAAAAAATTTTTTTAAATAAATTATAGAACTTTATTCTACTAAGGTTGAGATAAATGGAATTTTAAACGTATACTGGTATAAGGTTAAAATCTGCTTTTCTCTGTTCAGAAAACAAAGCTTTCTTGGACTGTTCTGCTCTTGATAAGACAATGTATTTTTTTTTTAGTATGAAATTTATTGTCAAATTGGTTTCCATACAACACAATGGTTCATCCCAACAGGTGCCCTCCTCAATGCCCATCACCCACTTTCCCCTCCTTCCCACCTCCCATCAACCCTCAGTTTGTTCTCAGTTTTTAAGAGTCTCTTATGGTTTGGCTCCCTCCCTTTCTTTCTTTTTTTTTTTTTTAAACAAAGGCTTTTTTTTTTTTTCTCTTTGCCAAAAAAACCCACAAAGCTTTAGGTTTCATCTTTATCAAGTCTTTGATTGCTTAGGTAAAACTTCTCAATATTAAAGGAACCTAGTTTTGCTAACAACTATAAAATGCTATACATTCGCCTTTAGGATCTTTTATTGACACGTTAATTAAATAAATAAACTTTTAAGATTTATAATAATTTATAATACTATTTAGGATATGCTTTATAATAATATCCTAAGGTTGTAACAGACTTCTCAGGATTTAAATGGTAAATAAAATAGATTTAATATTTAAACTAATTTATATTTGTTGCGTTTGTCTTTCAAATTATCAACATTAAATATAAAACTATTCTAGTAAGGTTTATTAAAGGTCAAATATCTCACGTTATCTCTGTTCCAACCTGTTAACAAAAGAATGACTTAAAGTAATGGTTAACTTTGTTTGCCTCATAGTTTTCATGGGTAATTGTTAAGATAGCTTTCAAAGTCTTTGGTAACCTAAAACATTTAAGTTTTGTTTGCATGATAAATTGAGATAAATTCATTATATGTCTAATGAGATAAAAAGCTAAAACACTAATTACTAAATATGGGCCTTTGGAAAAAGGCACAGTAGGCCTTATTTTTGGATGGAGTAGTCTTACACTTAAAGGTATTCATATGTATCCTGTGGTTATTGACTGTGATTATGAAAATAAAAATTCAAGTTATGATATCGGCTGATAACCCTTATACTATTCAACCAGGAGATAAAATTGCTCAGTTACTTATTCTTCCTTATATAGAGGGCCAAAGCAATCCTGTTATCAGAACTGGAGGTTTTGGCAGTACTGGAAAACAATTATATTGGCAAATGTTTTTGAAAGATCCTCACCCTGAAATACATCTTAAAATAATAATAAATCTTTTATAAGATTAGTTGACACTGGAGCTGAAGTTACCATCATATCTGAAAAGTTTTGGCCTTCATCTTGGCCTGTTGAAAACGTACCTGTAATTTTTACAGGACTTGGTTCCTTAGGGGGAATAAAAAGAAGTCAATGGATTATGAGATGTGAAAGACCCAAGGACCAGATAGCAACTCTTAAACCCTATGTGGCTAGCATTGCCATTAATCTATGGGAGAGAGATTTACTTCCACAATGGGGTGCATATATTAATATCCCATCTGTATCTACTCAAAATAAAAATATAATGTGTGCCATGGGATATAACCCACTGAAGGGATTAGATAAAAATCAACAAGGCATTAAAACACCCCTCTATATTTTCCCCAAACATAAAGCCACAAGGCTAGGATATCCAAATTTATCCTAGTGGCCACTGCCAGAGAACAAAAATATG